AAGGTTTGGCAGTCCCTTTAGTGTCTACGTGGCACTAACATTTCTATCCCTGGTAACTGTGAGGAAAACCTTGCAAGTGTAACCCAGTATCTGAACCAAACATAAAAAGAAGAAATTGCTGCAAGCCATAGCAAATTCTTGCTGTTTGACTTCATGGATATTACCTTGGGGATGATGGATCCAAGGGTATGCATTTCATCTGCAGAGCAAAGAAACCCCATGGAGTTCCCTCTGTTGGGGCCAAGCACCCAGCTTGCTGTCTCACAGGATTGGGTCCCTGAAGTCTTGGGAGTGGCAGTGGTCCAAACAGTTCCAAGCAATGTATGTACTGGCCAATAAATCAGATCAGCATAGCTGATCCCACAACAAAAGCAACATCTGTTTGTAGTTTATGAGACAATGTTGGTTACTTGAAAGAGAAATAGGAACAGTCAAATGGCCCCAATCATAATCCTATAGAGATTATTTAGAGTCAGAGAGATAAACTAAGGACTATCACCAGCACTGGGCACATCTACATGTTCATTAATGCACCTCAATTACAAAGCATTATGTTTAGTACCTATAGTGACAGGTACTAACTTAATGTGCCATAATTGGTGCTACTGCGCATTAATGCAGATGAACAATCTTTAGTGATGTTAATGTGCATTAGACTAAATCAAGTTGCATTAGTGCATTAGCACAGCTTTTGCCAGCTGTGCTAATTAATGCTCAGTAGAATTATTTTACTGCACATTAGACGTCTTGTGTAGACGCTCCCACTGAAAGCAAGCCACAGGTGCCAGCTCTCACAAGTCTAATCAGATTCCTGGGTGCTGTGTGCTGGGTGATAGTATATTTCTGGATGACCCAGAAAACAAAGAATTTGACCTGTATTACTTTTGTAATCAAGAAACTTGTTGTTGGCTTGTAACAGCGGCACTCCTTTATTTAACCTGAAAATAGAAACCCACTGATTTTGACTGATGATGTTATGTCTGGGATGGTGTAAGTCACTGAGCTGTGACTCAGGAACTAGCTCAGCCTCTGACCCATTAGAATTTTATTGTTTCAATACAACAGATTAATTATACTGATTTACTGTGTGACAAGCTGTACTTTGATTTGTTCCCCATGGCAATATCCTTTAGCCTTAAACCTGCTATCAATACGAACATTAGGCTTTTAAAATTACCAAAGTGGGAAGCAATTTCTTTCATGATTGAAGATTATCCTAAACCAGCTTCAATCTGGTTTTTCTAAAGAAAATATTCAGCATTCACTGTGTCTTGGTTTACAATAAGAGTGACACAAGCTGTACATTGCTACGTTGTATGAGATCTTAAACAGGAAAGGTTTTAGGGGAGCTCCCATTTTTCTCAAGTGATCATCCATCCAAAACTGCAGGACTCCAGAGTTTTCTAGACACCTAAAATAGTTGTCAGTAACAGATTGAATGCTATTATATAATACCACATTACGCATTTTTGGTCCTCCAGTGTCAACAGGAAAAAGTCATAGCATAAGTTTTCTTGCATTAATACGACGATTTCAGAAGAGCTTATGAGCAGATGAAATGTGAACAGATTAGGGTCCAAAAGACAGGGCAAAATGTTTGTAAGTAAATGTGCATTCTTAGACTACAGAATTTACTAGTCCACCTACTGGTGGGAGAGTGAAATTCTTTTCAAAACTAATGGTGTAACAGCTAAAACCAGTTCCCAGGAAAGATTGCTCTTTCATTTCAGTCATATAAGCAGTATAAGAGAAAGATGAATATTCAGTAAGTTGCCCACGCCAACAGGATATCCTGTCACAGGAGGAACCTAATCTGACACCCCAAGAAGAGTTTCTCCTCAACTATTTTGTCTGTGAGTGGATCAAGACTTGCTTCAGAGAAGAAGCCAAGTCCCAGCATTTGGAGGGCACTAAAAGTCTTTACGATATTGCCATTTACAAATGATGGACATTGGGAAGCAGGGGGAAAGCTTAAACACAACTTTGGCAAATTCCGTTTTGCTTTATGAGCCTAAACTGTACATGCAGAGCCAGGTAAATGCAGATCAGGCACTTCTGCATAGTTTGCAATTGAGGTCTGGGCACACAAGCATTCATGCACCAAGTAAGCAAGCTCCAGAGGGCTGTGCTATGGCCAGTTGACTGTGTAGTGATTAGGATCACCCAAGGGTACATGTGAAGCATAAGACCCCAAACTACAGCTAGGCTGTACCAGTATTTAGATGCTCGAGGAAGGGCAACAAATATTTGCAACAAATAGCTTAGTTGTCAGAAAATTTGCTCAGGTTCTAGGAGCTGACCTACTGGACAGATAGGAGAGGGAGAGACGTGGGACCAAAGGAAAGTACTCAAGCTGTTGTGTGTATTGCTCAGCAACACAGAGCCTAGAAAAGGGCTCTTGCCGTGGGTAGGGAGAAACTTCTCCTGCGCTTTTTATCCATTTTAGCTGTTGAAACTTAACTGCAAAATTAACAGCAGTGGGCCAGCTTGTAGGTTCTTCCTTCATTTTGCGTCCAGAAGATACATGTTTAGGGCCATTCTAATTCACCACAGAGTGAAATAAATGTTAAACAATGACTTTGTAACTGCCAAAACCTGCTATTGTGCATTCTGCATATTAATCATTTAGGCCCATATAGTGAAATAAGATTTAGCCCTTTGGGTGCCAATTTAGGAATGGGAATCTAATGCAGTTAGAGTGATGACAAGTTAAAGAGTGGGTCCTGAGCAGTCTGGAGGACTGGCAAAACTTGGGAAAGCTTTTGGGGGATTTTTCAATTATATCTTTTTTCATCAGAAAATGTTGATTCAGTGAGACAGTTCTGTGACATCCTGACAGAATCCTGTTAATTTTAATCAGAAAAAAATTATTCACCTCAAAATAGGCAACATTTTCCTGATTAGGTCATTCAGTTAAAGTTGAACAAGCTTTAAACTTGAGGTTTGACCAGACTAAGTGAATACCTGACCCATCACCATGCTAGCAATTCTGCAATGTTATCTGTCCAAAAATACTGATGCAAGAATTCTTATGGCTGGTATCTTTTACTGGACCAACTGCATGGGATAGACATAGGCAGGCTTTCTGGTATCACAGTACCCTTCCTAAGCAGTCTGGAAGAGAAGTAGACACAGCAGAGCTAAGTAGCAGCCGAACTGCCTTTGTCTATCCCAAACATGCAGTTGTCCAGTAAAAGATATCACCCACAAGTATTCTTGCCTCTTGCATATTTCCTGGACTATCACAGCAACAAATAAGTATGGACACATTTTCGTTTTGGCCTTCCCTAGAAGAAAAACACATTTTAAAATCTTGCCATTCTTCATGACTTTTTTTCTTGTCCAGTCTGATTTTCCGCTCAGTTGGGATGGGACTTAGATAAGAGATAGGGTTTCATGTATCACAGCACTGTCTTCTGCTACATAATACAGTCTTCTTTAACTTCTCTCCAGCCTCAGATATGTTTAAGAAGCATCTTTTAGCACTATGTCATACTAAACATGTCTACACGTACTTTTACCTGTGCCTAAACTTAACCCGTATTTGTCTAATGTGCATTAAGGTGATTTGGGCATGCGTCTACATGTGCACGTGCTAAGGTACATTAATGTGGTGCGCAGACTGACCTGGGACTAAAGTTAGTCCCAAGTCAGTCAACATACACAGCATTAATGTGCCTTAGGGAGTCTACATGTGCGTTAAGGTGCTTTAGCTATTCACACCTAAACTTAATACCTGCTTTTGCACATTAACGTGCTTTAAAAATGGCTAATGCACCTTAAATCAGCACATGTAGATGTGCCCATCCTGTATTTAACAGGGGAACAGAATTCAGTCCAGGCTAGTATACAGCTTTGTACATGCCAAAGTCACGAACTTCTTACTGGCAAAGTACCACAAAGAGTGGATGTCAAACACTGGCCGATGATGAAAAGAAGAACCTGCCCTTGAGTGGGTTTCAACCTACATTTTTTTATACTTCCTAACACAGTGCTGTATTTACTGGGCCACAAGTCAGGCATTACCCAGATCCTTCCATTTGAAGCTGTCCCCATCAGCAGCCAATGGAGCAAGATACATAGGGCCAGGAGGAAGCAAACAAGGTAGAGGGTGTCTGGCTCAGTAAGATGGATGCTGCTTTAGGAGAGAGCATATCTTGGGTTCTAGCCTAAACCTTTTCTCATGATAGGGCAGAAACTTCTCCACTGCTTTTAAGCTGGTGAGGATTAAATGCAAGGTGCTTTGGTTCAACTTCAGAAGGAGTACTGGACAGGAGACTGGGGTGTCACTTGGTGGGACTTGTCACTTGATGATCTGATGCCTGTGCTGGGAAGTCCATGAGATGCAAGTTTACATTCCCTGTTAGTAAGGGTGAGGGAAGAAGGCAAGAATCTGAACTATCTGTTTTATGGACAAGTGCTCTAACCCCTCACCTGTTGGGGCTAACTCATAGGATTGCCCTCCTCCTCTTCATCTTTCACCAAGACAGAATGTCAGGACTTAGGTTTATATACAGAGCTGAATACTGTGCATGCTTTGGAGAACATCCACCCTGCATGGTAACAGAGGCACAAACTGAGCATAAATGCCCAACGTTTCAGCTGTGTGTCTGGAAAACTGCTGTGAAAATAAAATGACAGAGGATTCTGCCTTTAATATATGTATTAGCTATATACAAATATTACAAAATATATGTACAAAACTGTGTACATAAAGAGGGCAAAGACTCACAGGACTCATTTTATTTGGAAGTGTCTTACTTCTTTAGTAAATGTATTAAAGATTAGAAATGGGGAATTCTCTTAGCTAACTGGTATTACATCACTATGTGATGATGAATCTATTTGTATCGCTATTGTTTGGCTACTGAGAGGATATTATACATTGTGAATTAGTCACCAGCTAATGTACACATTCTCTATATAAACCGGGCTATCTGGGAGAGGTGTGCAGTACTTCTGATTAAGCAGTAAGCAGAGGCACAGAAACAACACTAAGAATGAAGAGCCTTCCACTTCTTCTGCTAGCATGTACAGCATTCTCCTCTGCTGTCCCTGTGGATCCAGAAGATGACACTGCAAGGCTTGTTAAGGTAAGTACTTGCTAAGGCTTCCAGCAATACCTCAGAATGAATATTATTGTTTGCTTCATAGAAGAGATTCTATAAATGGCAGGTTGCATTTCTTTCCCTTTTTCTAGAATAAGTCATGATGGTCAAGAGGTATCAAGTTATAGGGATTTAAAAGAAACCCTCTTCCTTTATTTCTTTATTCTAACATCATGAATGTTGGCCAAAAGACATTAAAAGTTTTCTTCAGGTTTCTTTGAATTACAATTCCTG